TTTGTTAATGGAATTTCTGGATTACAGTATCCTGAGACATATATGTTAGTTACTTAAAAGTTAGTGGCATGCAACCATCCAAGAGTATAATGGCATTAGCCACAGAGTTTTACTTAATTTCAATTAAAAGGTGCAAACTTAACTCCCTCACATTTGAAAAATCTAGTCTAAGTAATGCATCATGGTTCATAAAAGGGAACTGCTGGCTTGATAAAGATGAAAGCTTAAATGTAGAAAACTAAAAACATAATTCCATACACAGATCATATTATTTCATCTGAAACCATGATATATTTTTAAGCTTTGACAACCTCTACTTCTTCCACATTTTTGTCCATAATTTGCTTTCTAAAAGCAAATACTTTTATTAAAACACAGGTATTTATTCATGATATTCAAGCTTCCTTTTAATTTTCCTCCCTTGTATCTGGTTATGTTTTAAATAAGCTTTGTTAAACATAGAAGGAGACAATTATCATTTTTTGGTTAGGACATCCCTTAAAAAATTATGAATGAGTAATAATAGTAGTAAGACTCCAAAAAGAGCTAACAAGACAGGATATCTCACCAAGCATATTTGAACAAATACTGATGGCAGAGCATGCCTGCAACCTGATGTATCTATTCGAACTCAAGCCACCACTCCATATGAATTTCCTTGTCTGCAAAATGAGTTTATGTTACTTGCTGCCTTTATAAAAGTGTTTTAGGTATAGTTCTTGAAATACAAGTCTGGATTCTACAGCAGCATAAACAAAACTAAACATAAACATACAGTGTCAGTCAGCAATACTACAGTCATAAATTCCTTGTCTCCCACTCCTTTCTCTGTGCTGCCACTGGCATTCCTGTGATCTTGCAATAAAGACTGGTTAGAAAACTAAACCTTCAGAAAACTAATCCTAAATGTTGTACAGACTTATTCTCATTTGATCTTTGAACCACATCACTTGAAGTCAAGAGAAGGCTCAGTGCCAGAAAAATACAAGACTATTTATGTAAGGAGCAGTTCAGCACAGCACACAAAATTATCATTTCTGCATACACATATCTGAAGTTAGGGGTCATTTGTGAAAGTCAGTTCGCTATTATATATATATACATTTATATATATGTATTTTCAATCTACAGGTGGCTCCACTCTGCTGTTAGTTTTTGCCAGTTTTGATGACTCATCACATTATTATGTGATCCTTACATAAGGTTAGTCAGTTTTAAGGTTCCTGTCTTATCTAATTTCATAAAATATTCATTTTGGGGGACTCTCCAACAACATACTTTTTCTCAGATAACCTAGCCATCTTTGGATCACCCAGTATTATGCATCTTTCTTGAGATGCAGCTTTCATTAAGACGTGGTATCTTATTCAAGTTTTGTCCAAATTTTGTTCAGGATAGTCTTAATATATGCATCCATTCTTACTTCAGAGTTCCCAGATTTCTCAAAATCCCTGGAAAGTTCAAGTTAGTTACCAACAGAATACTTATATACATACATACATACACATATATTCATGGCAGATGTATTTATGCATAGTATCTTAACTATTTGCTGGTAACATTTTCACTTTTAACTGCTGTAACACTGTGATAATTAGCTATAAAATCTGTTTATCTAGATGCATGTTGCTTATATTCAGACCACAAAGAAGTCACAGTTCTGCTTTGCCATCCCACAAAAAGAGCAGCTAAGACTGAAACCGATTCTCACATCCCTGACCACTTCTTATCCATGACCAGCAAAGCAAATAATCTACTTGGCCTGTTCAACATCTATGGAAAAAGTGTCACCATCACAATCAGAAATTTCCAGGATTGTTTGTAGCCTATTGTGTTTACCTTCCAGCAGATGGCTGAATTTTGCCTCAAACTATGAGAACCAGCACAGCAAAAGCAACAAAACTAAACAGTCACAAGAGACAACATAGTAAATTCTAACTGGATAGAAGGAAAAACATTTTCACAGCGATGTGGTTCATACTCAGGAAAGTTGGCAATCTATAGCCTTTGAGATACTGAACATTCAACTGGACAATACCAGGAGCAACCTGATTCAACTTCAAAGGTATCCCACCTTCAGCAGAAAAATGGACTAGGAAATCACCAAGGGTCCCTCCCAACCTAAATTATTCCACTTGTCTGTGTAATCTAACTTGCTGCCCTAAGGATGTTATATAGCAATATTATTTTCAACAAACATTTACCTGACATGTAATGAAACACCTTAATCTTCTGCAGGGCTAGAAAATTTTGTGATCTCCTCCAGTTCTTCTCCACCTTCAGTTACAACATTAGACCCATTTCCAGCTTGGGGTTCACTACAATTGCCAATCTCTCTTGTACAATTTCAGTAATATGTGTTCCCTCTTCAGAATATGTGTTACTAATTATTTGATCCCAAGCAAATTTCCTTGCAATTGTCCCTACTGTTGTATCGAATATCTTATGTTTTTCATTTTTAAGAGAAATTAAACCCTATCATCCAAGTCACTGTATAATCTCTATCTTCTAATCATCTACGTCTTATAGTCACATTTTTAACTGTAACATTCACATTATTAATTAAAATATTAACTATAGTAGTTCATTTTTATATCCATTTCCAAGATTGCTTTTTTAGAATACATGTGTTTTCCTGTAAAATTCACTACTTGCCTGTTACTTGCATCTGTAATCTTCCATTATGGGTGTTACTTGTATCAGATCTTGGTGAGGCTGTGGCCATGTCAGAGGTTTAGGCTTTAGCCTAGAAAGAAAAAAAAAAAGCAAACAGGTAGCTTATTAAAAAGTACTTATCTCTGCATGTTAGCTACAGCTATTAAATAAAATGTTTAACCAATCAACAAGTTACCAAATGTTTTTTATGTATGGCAGAACACATTATTTCATAACAGCAGTTAAAAAAAGCAATCACTTTGGAAATTTTGTCCCATGTTACATCTCTATGGATGTGTATGTTACTTCAGGAACATATACATACATTTACATAGTTTAGAACAACTGTGTAAGGCAAGAAAAGAAATTCAGCTATGATATATCAATATTCCTCTCTCTAGAAGATACTCTTATGGTCTGATTTCAGATGAGCAAAGCACCCACAACTTCAAATGAACAAAATGTCTGAAACATTTACATGTTTGAAAATCAAGCTGTCACCAGAACAATACACTCAAGCAGTAACGCGAGTGATTCAGATGACAAACATTTGCATTCTATCCCTAGATTTGCCATCAGCTTTCTACACCACTGTTATCCACCCACAAATCACTTCCCTCCTCTGTTGAGACAATAAGCCCTTTACAAGGACTACCCCACTCAGTGACTAAAACAGTGTGTCTCAAATCCCAGCTGGCGCATCTCTTGGTGCATTTGAAGCACATGCAAACAGCATCACTCCTGTCCTCCTACATTACTACACCTGACATGCATCTAGAAGTAAAATATTCTGTTTCTATCAGACAACTATTTTTTCATGAGGAAAAATACACTTTTCATGATCTGGATGAACTTCCAGATATTTATTTTTGTGTACAGTGATTGGTTTCAATAATAATAATATGGGAACAGTTGTCACTAAACCTTTTTCATTATGTACCTCTGTAAGTAAAAATATTTTGAGTACGTACTTCCAATATGTGTGTATTTATTTATAAATTACATATATATATACTACTGTACTAATACATTCTGTATATATAAAAACAGATGAGATAAAGATTAAATAAACAGTATTTTAAACAATATATAATGGTACACAAAACCTTTATGCAATTGTTAAAAAAAAGGAAGGTTTTTTTGTGAGAGTCGTATGATTGAATATGCTTCAGCATTTTTTAAAAAGTTGACTTAACACTTTATAATACAGTGACTTGAATGTCTAGTTTTAAATCAGTTTATTGGCTGTCATAGTCAGAAAAAATAATTTACAAATATATGAGCATCTAAATGAAAGTGCATCACTGGCTACACTTTCTAAATCATGACACTCATTTTTCATTCCCATCCACTAATTATACAAAATTTTTTCTTGAAGTTTGGCCAGTGGAAGGTGTTGCATTTCTATATTTTTAACAAATTTTCAGATTCTGAAACCCTTAATTAAGAGAACTTTTAAACCGGTAAAAGTTTAAAAGTTTAAACTTTTAAACTGCTTCCAAGTTTAAGTGTACAAATATAGGAGGTTTTATAGATGACATGCATCTTTTCTGGCAACAAAAAAATCCCACAGTGGTGTAAACATTTCCAAACATCTATTTTCAAAATGCTCTCTCCATAATATCAGCTTATTTCAAAAAGCAGTCATTTTCTTGCTCATTGTTAAAATGTCACCTTCACTTTCAAGGAAAGGTGTCTTAAGGGTCTTTATTTTCTTTATTTTTTTTAAAATAACTGTTAGTCAGCATACTGCTGACAGTCACCTGTTATCACTGAACAGGTCAATTTGTAACACTTGTCTTTTTGTGAAATAAAACACATAATTAATCATAATAATTAATAACAAAAACATAATAATTAATACATTTTGCAGCTCTTCTAAGCACTTTGCCATGATAACCAGCAAACTTCTGCATAGTACAAAAGATTTTCCTGGTCATTCCCCATGTCATTACAGATTATTGTAAAGATTCTACTATTTAAAGGCCTTGTTTTCATACAATGAACAACAATTATGACATCCTGAAGCATTTTATACACTTATGGCTCCAACTTCCTTCTTGCTTACCTATTCATGATGCAGTAAATAAATTCTATATGTGGTGCTCACCTTGTAAACCTTACCCCAGAACCTCTTTCAGTTCAGTAAAATCAGCCACTCCATCTGTGGTTACATTTGTACAGTTTTTTCATTTAAAAAAAAATGCTGCTATTGAAGAAGATACTGTTTAGAATTCACTGTTAAGAATATATCTTGTTTGGTACATCTTTCCCTAGTTCTTTGTGAATTTCATTATGGACACAGAATTTAGCAACTCCCGTTAAACGGAGCCACATTACAAACCAAACATCTATACTTTCATCCAGCTGTCAGTACAGCAAGCTTCTCACACTGTGCAATTTTTTTTAACTTGTTTCTTCAAAACTTTGGCAATGTTTTCCAGACATCTTCCAACAGTATCTGCTGACAAAGGAATGCATTTTAGTTTGTCACCACATTGTTTTCCATGTATTATTTCAGACATTTTTACTGCGGCAGGAAGATCAAGTGTATTCCCATCACTATGTGGCTTCTGCTACTGAAAAATCTCAAAAGAGTTTTATATATATCTATCATTAAGTTTAGTGAGATCTTGTAAAGTCTTGGATTGAATATTGACTGGATTGAGCAATGACTAGCATTGCTGAAAAAAATTGTAGACGTCTGTCTTCATGTTCTGGGTGCTTAGTTTTTAAATGCCTTGCTAATTGTGATGGTTTCATGCTATCATTAGCTGATATCTCAAGATACAATGTTCTCTTAGGGTGAGGTTCATCATTTATAGTAGTGGATGTAAATCCATATTTGAAATACCCTTCTTAATGAACAAAATTTTTTGGCTGACTTCTTGTCAGATCTAATTGCCAAATGACCAAGAGCTCATACCAGGAGTAGAAGCATCAGTTCTGACATGTTCTTAGTATTCACATTATTACTATTATCTACAATCCATGGTCTCTTTGCAGGATTTTTTTTTTTAAGCTGTTTGCCTATTTTGTTAGAGTTTGTTTGGTAAAAACTAAGTAATATAATCCATAAATCTGCCTAACTGGTCACAAGTGAACTATATCCATTACAATACACTGGAAGTGAATGAAGAAATGAAGGTGCTACTGCTACCTCACCATACTGTGTAATACTAAATCTGCCTTCAGGACACCTCATGTACCAAATGTGACACAGGACTACGTGACATACAGACCAAGGGAGGGTGCCAGTGTAAATATGTGTACTAAAACAAGCTTTATTTCTTTCTTATTTTTCAGATAAAATACGAATCCTAGATTTTCTTCCCACATCTGGCTGGCTGGTCTTGTGCATCTGACTTTGGAGGCCACTGACATGGAAGACATCATAAGAGCAACATATGCAATCAATTCTGAGGCAAGTAAACTCAAATTCTTCACAAGAAACCAAGATCTAGTTCTAAACGTACATTAAAAAATCAGTTTAGGCATACTTTTTTAACTGACAAATTATGATTATTTTTACTGGTGGTTTTTTTCCTGCAACTGTTCAACCTGCATAGATCTAATGGGGTTTTTTTGTTTTAGTTGGTTGGTTGGTTGGGTTTTGTGTTGTTTTGGGTTTTTTAACTCTATTCCAAGCATGCACAAAGCAAAATAAATGCATAATGAAATAACTAACTAAATAAATAAAGTGTGTCAAAGTCCTCAGGTAGACAGTTTATTGCATAATCTCCTGAGACTTCAGGTTTCAGGTGCTGATTTATCTACCAGGCATACCACCTGCCCTAACCTGAGTTTCTTGCTCTGCTTGCTGCTAACTGCATTTGGCAAACATGTTTGCTAATTTTCTGATAACAGGGAAGTGAGAATTCACTACATTTAGCTTTGCATCTTTCCCCTTGAAGAAAAAAATGACCAATTAGCAATTATTACAATGGACAGCTGATGCAGATAAAACAAAGTTAGGCTTAAGGGTTGGTTGAAGGGCTGTTTATAACTACATGATCGTTTATAACTACATGATGCATCCCATCAACAGTTCCCTGATCTGTTCTGCCCCTGTAAATGGAACATCCTTCTCTAATAGAAGTCTATTTTATGTTCTTGCCAATATGGTACACCCAGGTGCGTTTACACAGCAACGATTACAGTTTCACACTTCCTTTATGTTGTAAAAAAATACTGACATGTCTGTCAAACACTACAAAGTAAAATATATGGAAGTTCAAAAAAAAGCATTTAAACTTTTTAAAATAAACAGAATTTTTTGTCAACAATACATGAAGAAAGTTTTATGTTGTGGTTTCTATTCAAAAGGGCTTTGCTGAACAGACTAAATTAGTTGAACTGACTAATTCTGTTTTCATCATGTACCAAACATTCCAAAGCTGCAGTCCACTCATCCTTGCTTAACTGATTAGGAATCAAGAACTGGTGAGGAATTAAGAGGAAAGTAAACGCTAAATTTTCTCTGAGCCAAAAGAAAACTCATCAATTGTTTTTTCTAGAAACTTCTTTGCCAAGGATATGTCAAAAAAAAAATTATTTAGCCTTCAGTCATCAGTTATTTTCACCAGTAACTATCCAAACTCAGCTACCGACATTTTTAAATTGTTAACCTAAATTATTGCCTAATTTAAATTTAAACTATTGCCTAACCAGCTCAGATGCAGGCTGGTTCTCCTGGGAGACAGCCTGCTCACATGAAAATATTTGTCATTTTCCTTCAAGATTCCTTCTTATACACTGGTTCACACTCACTTGCAGTCAAACACATTTTTACTCCAGGTAAACAAAGCCTTCAGGAAGTTGGCCGAGTTAGATGGTACAAGATGAACTATCTTATCTAGAGTTTTGGACACCTATTACTTCCTAAAGGCTGGTCAGACATATGACAAACACTGCTGCACAAAGATGAGAAGTATAATCCAAAATTTAGCCCCTCAAACTTTGATAGGAAAATTACTGATGCAGACATAGCAGGGGGCAGAGGTGAGGTGGGACATGGGACAACAACTCTATTTATCACGTGGACTGCAGTGGTGATAAAAACAGTATTAATGACACTGTGTAAGGTACTAG